TTTTTCGCTAGCATTAATATTTAACGAGTTATTGACGAAAAACGAAAAAACAGTTTTTTGCAAATTACTCGTTAACTACCGACGCTAGCGAAAAAATTTTACATGGAAATTGTAGATCTCGTCGTCCTCTACAAGAAAGGTTGTATACAATTTTCCCGTAGATGCAACGGTTTAGGAGTAATTAAGGAAAAATGAAATTTTTTGCGAAAAGTTCGCCGTTTCGACGGTGGGATGGTCGGATTTTGTCAACATCAATAAAATGCCAAATAATTATACGTAACTCGTTAAATATCGAAGTTAGAAGGAAAACAACTTTTATTTGAAGCATTTTTCGCAATTTTAGACTTACAAACTCTCTATTGGATCTAATTAAGACTGTATTCGGATTTTATCTATTATCTGTCGTCCGTAAAATGGGTTGTTAAATAGAGACGTTTGAACAAGCAGAGCACGATTTGTGTGATTCGAAACGGTTCAAAATACGAAGCGGAGAGGTTTTTCAGCCGCTTTCACCGCGAGCGGAGCCGAGGGAGCCGAACGCGTTCGATGCATACGAAATCTGAAATCCTTTCGGCAGCGCCTTCTGGCAAGACTTGCGCGTGTAGCTCGACGGCCGGCCGGCCGGTTGCAGCCGGAAAGGAGACGATAATGACCTTCCACGGCTCCGGCCGGCCCGCGAGACCGGAGTAGGAGGGCCTTTGACACACTTGACGGCTCCGGTGAATTGTAACCGGGAACCGAGAAGCTCGTGGTTAGTTTTGAGCGGAAGATCGAACGGAGCGCGTCTCGCGTAGGAGAGCAGACGAAACGACATGACGCGACCGATACGTCGGGAGGATCGATGATAACGAGGCTGCGATGCGACGTGCGTATCGATCTCTGTACGATCGGTGATCATATAGAACGAGAGGTAAAACGGTGCGATCAATCGAGGCTGCCGATCGAGGTCGCGAGGGAGGGGGTAGCGGAAGTGATTAAAGGTGCACGTGGACGGGCTCGCGCGGGATTGACGAAATCAAAAGTGCTGATAACCTGTTGAGTCTGGTCTACATATTTGCTGAAACTGCTTAACGTGTTCTCGATCTCCTCGAGCTGGACTGAATAATTAGAATCTAGTCGAGGATGCATTTCAAGTACGTGATCGTTGTCCTGTGTTTCTGTGCGGCGTACGCGAACTGTCAGTTCTTCACCTTCGAGAACTTGAGGACCTACGCGAAGATCTTCCAGTTCAACGGTCTCTCGCCGAACGAAACTGGAAATGAATTATGGGGCGGTTTGTTCAGGGACTGCGACAAGTCCGTCACGTTCTCCTGTATACAGAAAAACGCGTACACATATTTGGACAGCGTTTTCGTGGAACAGGGTAACGTCACAGTTCTCGACGGCGTGACGATGACGAAGAACGATTTGGACTACGGGACGTGTCGGAAAAAGGTGGACCCAGTAGACGAGAATCTAGTCGAAGGATCCAGCAAGGAAGATTGCGATCAGGATGAGATCGACGAGGAAGAGGTAGGGAAGGAAGGAGGTCGCGAGTTTCAAGAGGAGGAGGAGTCACCTTTGGAGGAAGTGACTAACGCATTCCGGAAGAGGGCGGTGAAATTCCTCGCGACTAGGGACTACGAGATTCAATTGCCCGATTTCTACTTCGAAGGTGCCACGATCAAAATAAGTCCTCGCGAGGTGGACGAGAATGGCGCTCTGGTTAGGCTCGATTTCGGTGAACGAGCCGTGCAGAGCGAAGGAAGAATTTTCTTCAAGAAAATTAGTAAGACGATTTACAATCCTGACATTTGAAACATATTCACGAATATTTAATCAATATTTTCTCTTTTAGGAAAATTCATTCAGAATAAATTATTGACGAGCCTGCTGGCGTTGTTGCTTATAATCAAGCTGATCAAGATCAAGTTCATGTTCATTATACCATTCCTCTTCGGTGTGGGCACTGCGAAGAAGCTGTTCCTCAAACTCCTGCTCTTCTTCATCCCAGCGTTCGCGCACATTTTCAAACTCTGCTCCAGCTACTACTCCTCGCATAGTACAAAGCACCACCACCACCATCACCAGGTAATAAAATAATTAACATTAAGGCCTAAGAATTTGCAGACATTGAAAACATTGATCTTCCAGATTGCGCACCACCATCACCACGTGCCCGTTCCAGTACCAGTACCAACGTATTACAATCATCATCATCACCCACACCACCACGACGAAGAGTTCGACGGATACGATTATGCTCATCCTCACATTCAATACCGAAAGGACATTGAAGAACTGAAAGAATGGGGTATAGAACCGTACGAGGAGCCGTACGACGAGCAGCCGGAACCTGCGGTACCGGGACGAGTTCCGGGTGTGCTTCCAGCGTCTTACCAAGCTCCCACGTACGCAGCAGCTTACGACATTCCACAGTACGCGGCGAACGCTCAATCGATAGCCACTCCATATGCGGATAAACGTCCAGTGTCCGCTCACAACTTGGCCTACTCGGCGTACGTCGATAATAACCGCCGAACGAGTTCACAGCCCATTGTCAATGTCCCTCCGAGTCCTGCGAATCTTCCGTCAACGGTGTTACCGGCGAACGTGAAGAATTCGTATCCCGTGTTCGGCCAACAGAACATCAGACAGGCTTCGGCGAAAAGTAGTCAAGTAGAGACGAAAGGAATTGTGACAATACAGAGACAAGGATACGACGACGAATTCTATGGACCGATAATTAATAGATTGGAGGAAATATTTAGGCAGCTGAGATTCGTGGATGAACCCTGCAGGGAAAGGCTAGTGTGCAGCATGTACAAGAATCCTACGGTCTACTCGCCGCACAGTAACCTCGTCTCGAACGAGCTATCCAGGTAGGAAGAAAACGCGGAACTTCCAGTTCATCGTTCCTCTTACGAATGTAGGAGAGCGTGAAAACGGGAACGTATCTTTCCTGGAACAGGTTCCGTACGTCGCGAATTCCTACTGGTTTCTTTCCGAAAATAAGCTCTTCCACCCGTCGCGTTGATTACGTAAAGGCTCGATATTAATTACTCGTTTGACTGTACGACGCGTTCGGATTCGATTACCGTCGCGTGGATCGTAAAGAGAAAGGTGGCCAAGGCGCTCCGAATCAGAACGTTGCCGCGTTCGTCGTTTTTCTTTTGCGTTCCTTCCCTCGCAACAATAAACGTAACTCGCGAGAGCATAAATCAATTAGTTCAAGCAGGATTCTCGCTAAACTCCCTTCCACTCGTAATTATGAAGATCATCTAGTTAATACTCGCTCGACAAATGGCGAAAGTATCACATTTACGCGAATCAAGGTCAGGATTTATGTCCGAACACGATCGTCTGCGAGTATCGATACCGAAAACTATGTCGCAGATCGTGAATGACCGAGCATGTACACTGACAAGCTCGTTTTCCTGTTATTTTCAGAGATCCGCAAGAGTTGAAGCGAACCGGGATCGAAACCTCGTCTAGCCAGAAGTTCCACAGATACCTGAACGCGGCGAGATTGGGTCAAGATGGAGGAGACTGTCTGAGAACGTATCCGTGCCATATAAACACGGAATAACGCTGAGCGATCATTTTCCAGCCAGTTTAACGAAACGACGTGAGAACCACGTGTCGAAGTCTCCGTCTACGCTTCACCGCGCGCTGTCGACGTCTCTACGAACGTCTCGTCCCGCGTTGATGTCTCCGTGCGCGCTTTAAGGCGCGTTGAAGTCTCCGTTATAAATTCGTCTGCTTCGTTCCGCTACGAGCGACCCAGACGGCTCACGAGTGTAGAATTTTTTTGCCCAGTACAGTGTCTACGCTATTAATTGAAGTATGTCAAATGCTGTTATTGTACAATCACTTCGCCTGGGTTCGTGAGAAATCTATATAAGTGTATTTGTACCATAAATATACATATAAGAATAAACCGCGCTAGTCCGAAGATAGTAGAAAAACAGAGAAATACAGTTAGACAAGGACACAGAGGGGGTCTGTATGATTCTCTTTCTCTACTTTACTTCTATCGCTTCCACTTACAGACCACCACTAGCGCGGTCTATTTTTATATGTCTGTGATTTGTACTTGTCTTTTTAAATGAAGTCTCCTACGAATTGAATCGAATGAATCCTCAATTTAATTATATTTATTTATTTATGTATGTATTCGAATGACTTTTTCTGGGTCGCTATTACGAAGGCTTTCGGATAGTTTTCGAGAGATGCGTACGAATTCTCTGATGAATTGTCAAATTCGATACTTTTGACAATTTGTCAGAAATTCGAAAGAAATGTAATTCAATTAAATGATCCTTGGTGTATTTAAAGTTTTGCATTTCTTCAACTACGTCCTCAACTACGTGTGTATCGTAAAAGATAAAAGATTATACATAATTCGCAAGTTATTTACGAAGTGTAATTGTACACGCCTAAGTTGTTAAATATATTGAAGTGCATCATGGAAGCGAGGAGTGTTTCAAGACATGCGTATTTTATTTTTTATGCGATTATTTATTATTATGCTCCCGGGTGCCATACCCAGTTTTATTTATTAAATGTGATTAAAAATAAGTTATGTATAAATACTGTACAAAATGAAATGCTTCGATCACACTACCTCGAAGTTTCACTGTATATCATTGTTCTGTTCATAATAAACGATGTAAAAAGAGCATATTGATATCTCTATCCAATCCACGTCCACTTAAATATCAATTATTATTCTGATATGATAGCAGAAGTATTTATTATAAGAAGTGTCCAGCAATTTTAATAATCGGAACAATGTCGTCTACATTCAGACTGTTTAAAATAATGATGTCATGAACAATATAGGTAAGTATCAATAGGAGATTGACCTAGCTTCTTGATTCTTATGGTAATCGACGTAACAAATAGCACAGCTTAATTCACTCTATTCTTACGCAAACACGATCGATGTTACACTATAAAATCACTTTCTACCTAGTTTCCATCGATCTCTCATTATTCTGTCTTCATAAGCTGTTCTTACTTTCATCTATTCTCTTCTCACGGACGATTTGTCTGAGCAATTTCACTTTGCCATCGTTAGTTTTCCACCGTTCGAGCATTTACCTGTTCTCTTCGAGCGTCATCGTTGGGTTTAAATCACCTAAATGATTCGCGTTAATGAAGAATCTCTCTCGACACGGTGATCACCGGAAGCGGTGTATGTCGCAACCAAAATCGTTCCGAGGACGAAACACGGAGTCGTGAAAACATCGGCACCCTAGATAATGAGGCTTTCTTCTTTCCTTTCAGCCGGGCACACGTTCTCTGATCAAAATTCATCGTCCGTACGTGGCTTCCATCGGCTATAAAACCGCGTTGTCTTCGTTCGCACTGGCATTCGGTGGTTAGCCTCGCAAATCGGTGGGTATTCGTCATGAAGTTCACTATCATCGTGTCCGTGGCCCTTCTGGGCGCTCTCGCAGTCGCGGAAAGGCCGACGGAGACCACGGCCGAGGCACTGCGAAACATTTACCACAAGTAAGCATCGAATTTTTCTTTAAACTCTTTTTAAAAACGAACTAATTACTATGATAAGGAAATCAGAATTAAATATCGCTTCTAATTTTTACAGGTGCATAAACAACGAGTCGATGTTGTCGTGCGTAAAGCCCAAAGTTCTCGCATACCTCAGCCAAGCCGTGAAGCAAGACAGGCTGGCGATCACGGAAGACCTGGCAATAGTCAAGTCCAGAAACTTCCCTGAGGAAAATACCGAAGAATACTACCCATCGCAATACGATTCCGTGGACCCCGCCCGGAAGGAGCTTCTGAGGTCCCTGATGCTTGAAAAACTGGACGCGTATCTCTCCAGCCATCAGATAGAGGCTAAGTTACCTGAAGCCATCGTCGGTTCCAACATCGTTCCACGATCGTTGGTGGACAGCATGCCTAGAAGTTTGACTGTCCCTCTTTCCGACTCCTCGAACGGTCAAGGTAACAAAATCTCATCCGCGATAGGAAAATAATAAAACGTATTTGTTCATTTATTTATTTATTTATTTACGATTTACTTATAATTGTTTTATTTTTATTCACAGGCCGTGGATTCGTGAAGAAGGTGATGATACCCTTCTTGTTGGGTCTCAAGTTCAAGGCTACCGCCCTTGTACCCCTTGCCCTTGCCCTGATCGCTCTGAAGACGTGGAAGGCTCTCACCCTGGGTCTCCTCTCGATGGTGCTCAGCGGCGCGATGATGATTTTCAAGCTGACGAAGCCTAAAGTCGCGTACGAAGTCGTCCACTACGGACACCCCCCCGTGGAGCACCCGCCTCATTGGGACACGGCAGCTCATGGTCCCTACAGGGCGTACAGGAAATAGGCTGACCTACGCGCGTTCGACTTTCCTATCCTAGATCGTTTTTATTTAATATTTATTTACACGCGACTCTGATTTATTTATAAATAAAGTTTCTTACAAATGGTCTCATCGAACTTCTGTCTACGATCCGTCACTTTCACCCTAACCACTACGATACAAACGATTTCAGCACTTTCCTTTTTTTGTTTATTCATCTATGCGCGGAGAATCGACCGGAGATTTAAAGAAAATGGAAAGGGTTACTTGGGAATTCAACGATCGTCTCTGGTACATTGACAACGTCGTGAACATAAATGGCCCAGATTTGAGCATGCGTCTTTGAAAATTATTTCTGAAATGATAAAATTGGAGGTACATTCATAAATCAATGATTTGACTATTTTTAGAAAAATCTTCTTTATAAAAATTACGAACATATTGTATTATAATTTGAGATTCATCTGTGAGTGATATGAAATCCTCCGGTTACGAAAGTCCAGCGAATATAGGACGTTGATGAACAGACACGTAAACAGAGTGGGAAAAATTCATCGAGTGCGCGTGGAAACTCTCGAAGGGAAAATCAGTTTGTTCGAACGGAGTCGAAAAGGTGACATCGATCTACGCCTGGGTCGCCCTGAATGTTTATGCAAACTCGACCCGAAATTCCAATTACCGTTTCATTGTTACGGACAGGAGGAAGTCGGGCGGTACGGACAGAAGTGTCTCTTCGCAACCCCACGCGCGCATTCTCGCACGAGAAACTCGCACGCAACGTGCATTCCTGATACACTTCGAGGAATCTTCGCGTCTAGTTTTCAATAATGCCTTCAGAGTAAAATTTGTCTTTAAAGCTTGCATAGAAATCTTTACTTAAAAGTTAATCATAATTATTTAGTGTTAATTCCTGTTTAATGTGCATCAGTATAGAATAATATTGAAATTCACTTAGTCATAATCTTTTTGAAGTTGTGTTAAAGCATGAATTTATATAAAGAGATTTAATGATACATAGAATAGAAAGTTACGTGTGGAAGAAGAATTCGGAGGGTGAATATCTTCTCGTCGGCGGAGAGTTGGTAGGGGAAGCGTTAACGGAGCAGACGTGTGGAAAGTGTCGTGTTCGTGGCGTGAATGAACGATGGATTCAATGCCAATGTTACGGTGGCATTGGTGCCAAGGATGAAGGGTCTTCCATTACTTTTACCGCGCACGCGACTTCCGCTTTTCTACCCGAAACTATCCTACACGATATCATGTCAAATATTCGAAAGTCTAGGCTGGTATATTGCGTGAGCTGATTGTGTTATCGACGCATGAACTGGGTTAATGAAGCGATAGAAATTTTTGATCGTGTGAATATTGTTGATGCTGAATCCTAATTTTTAGTATGGAATGCCAACAGGTATTTAATACATATTTGACCTTAATGATACAGAATTATATGACATTGTGTTGTGTACAGAATCTGCAGCCTCTGGAAATGAAACAGTAATCATTTTTATCTTTTGTCATCTTAAGCAAAGCAAAAGACAAAATGTGCATGTAAGAACTTCCCTGTGAACTATGTATCTTTCCTGATCTTCCTCAATCAGTTGATAGTCGAATTAGCTGCGAATTGTAGAAGGAGATAAACGAAAGCTTATCGCTGCAGAAATGCGACCAGACTCATGGGTGTTTTACAAAGCAGAGGAGCTTTCTTTCGACTTTGCTGATTCCGGGCGATCGCGTATTCCCATCACGAATCGCGCCGAGGCCTCGATAATCGAACACCATACTGAACGAAAAGAAAATTCGTGGTTGAAGCCAGGTGGGGGCGTTCTGTGGCGCACCGCTATGGGACGACTCGTCGCGTCCGACGACTCGACGATAACGGGGGCTCCGTATAAATAGCCTCGTGCCCAACCCATTGGCATCAGTCTTCGTGCATTCGTTTTAAAGCGAGTCTTCCGAGACCTTCCTCAGGGTAAAACGAGTCCCCGTTTCCACTTTCGAAAAAGAAACCACCATGAAGCTGTTCGCGTTTTGCGTAATTTTGACTCTGGCGGCTGCCCAGCCTGCGAAGAACGACCTCTGGAAGGGTAGCAGCATGGACCAGATGGTCGACCAGACGAAGATCGAGTGCTCGCAGAAGAACGACGAGGTTTCCTGCATGAAGTTCAAGGTTCTGAATCTCCTCGACCAGATCTTCCGCAAAGACAGCTTCAAGGCAAGTGCCGTTCCGCTTACGCAATTTGTCCCGAAACCGTTTTATTAGTAATCCGGTTACATTTAACGTTGGAAAGTTTTCGAGAGCGAAACGCAGTTACGTTTCTGAACCTCCTTCCACGGTCTGCAAGGCGAAAAGTAAATTTGCTCCACGATTCACTTTCAGGTGTCCGAAACCGTGGAGGTGACTCGCAACTCGTACCCCGTCGAAGAAGTCTCCGGCCGCGGCGAGGCCTCATTCTTGGACAACTTGCAGACCTATCTGACCTCTCACGATGTGACCTTCAAGCTGCCGATGGAATCCTCGGTGAAGGTGAGCGCCAGGAACATCGACGACGATCAGCTCACCTTCGACGTCAAGTTCGGCCAGGGTCGCGCCGTCGAGGAGGCTCGTAAATCCAAGCTGAAGAAGGTCGTCATTCCCATCCTTGTGTTCGTCCTCCTGAAGGCGATGACTCTGATCCCTCTCGCGATCGGTGTCCTCGGTCTCAAGGCCTGGAACGCTCTTCAGCTCTCGTTCTTCAGTTTCATCGTCTCCGTGGGAATGGCGATCTTCCAATTGTGCAAGAAAATAGCTGCCGACAGTCACAGCGCACCATTGGCCGCTCACGGTCCATGGGAGTACCAAGCTCAGTACAGATCCCTTCAAGACGACCTGCAGCAGCCATCGGCGATGTTCGCTCAGGATCTCGCATACGCCGCGCATGCACAATCCTAAACTGATTGCTAGACCGTTCACTAGTCCGCGACTTTTGTAAAATACCTGTCTTCCTGCTCTTCTCTGTGCTCTCTATTTAATAAATTATTCTATTGCAACTTATATGCTTGTGCCGATTACCCTACCATAGACAACGACGTTAGTTATAGTATTTCTTTTATTAATAATAGGATAAGGGGACAAACAATGTTCTATGATTAAAAACTGCCAGTCCATTCAAAAATATATTTATTAATAAAATATAATATACCTGATATAAAAAAAATGCTAAAATTCAAATACCTTTTAGACAATTCTAGTTCATGCTTACGTATATTAAAACGAGAAATTAAAATAATAAAGTATTTCTCCAAATTCTATAATATTTATTCATATAGAACACCTATAGCATACTATATTCCAAATAATCTACGTCTGTAGACAGGTTATTAATGAAATGTCCGTATTATCAATACATGATAACAATTTTAAAATTCAAATATCGTTTAAACAATTCTATGCTTATGTATATTAAAATAAGAAAATAAAATAATGAAGAATTTTTCCAAATTTTATAATAGATATTCATATATAGAACACCCATCCCTCCGTTATAAAATTATAAAAACGCCGCACGATATATCGTTTTGGAAAGGGATCTGGCTTTACGCTACCACAGTCCGGTTCTGCAAGTAGATTATGCCCGATAATGATCAGACGCTGCTGACGACGGCTACGGCTCTACGGCCTGGAAGCTCACGGACGCCACTTCGTTTGATGTTCATTCTTTTAAATGGAAATCCAGTCTCGTCCTCGCCGTGACTTTACTACTGGCGACGCTTTCCCTTTTCCTCATTCCGTACTCTTTACGCGCCATAAGCGCCGTTTAGCAGCCCCGATTCTTACATTTTCAATTTGAAATCTGTATAAGTAGACACTCGTTCGTACATAAAGATGCAAGCAGTTGTTTTGTAATCTATAACGTAGAGTACATCGTAATTCATTGTTTTGATGTTGGTTAAGCTTCTTACAACTTTTACCCTCGTAAAGCGCCTTGCTTTAATATAATTAATCGTACACAATCTGTAAGAAAGTGAATTTAGATTTCTATCTTAAATCCATCAAATGTAGAAGGAATAAGATTTCTTTCAAGGAACCTCATAAATTCGGAGTTTAAACACGGTTTGAAAATTAGGCAATTCACTTAATGTTTTGTTGCTTTAAACGTTTTCAAGTGCAAACTTCAAAATTAGAGAAATTCCACTACAATACGAGATACATGGCGCTTTGTTTTTATTGAATGAAGTAAGCAAAGTTATATCAGATCGAATGCATTTATTCTCACATATTTACGTACATGGAAAGTGCACTATTATAGTAGCAATATTTTTATAATATTTCATAAACCGTGATTTACCGGCAATTAGGAGAGGTACAATTGTAATCCCTCAGAAAAAAGATTTAACGTATCGCACATCCATCAACACGTTGTCCCAAATACTAAAACGGAGCCATGGTTTCAATCCCTATTTGTCGAAGCGGCCAAAAATCATTGCCAGCGTTCCCGTTGATCGTCCATCGACGTACAACGAGAACGGTTAGCTCAGCCGAACGCGGACGGTTTGCCGAAAGCGTTCGCCTCAAGATATCGTAGATGGATCGTGAAGAATCGCGTGCGGGCGTTAGAAAAGAAAGGACGGCCAAGTATGAGAGCCCGAGTTGAACGACGAGGGGCAAGTTCCGTTTCCCGTCCGACGACGCATGCCATCGTGTACGCGGTACGCGACGCTACATACGTACATATGTAAGCGTTTACACGCTCGCGAACGCGCCGGTACGCGTGCACGCACGTACTCGCTCACTTGCCACACGAGGCGAGTAGCCGGGAGGCGGGCGGGGCGGGTGGACAGGGTGGCGCGCGGAGAGAAGCGCTTCGGTCTATGTGCCAGTGAAATTTGAATAATTTTCCGTCGATCGTCGATTCCCAGCATGCGCGACCGAATAACATAGATTCGCGGGGGGCAAATTAAATAAAAGGGGCGGGCCACTCCTCCGTCAGTCGCAGTTCGATCGGCGATCGCTCGCTCGTACGGGTGGACGAACGATCGTTTCGTGTTTTGTTGTTTTTTTTTCCACGAACGAGAAAAGAGTGCGTGTTACGTCTCGATTGAGAGACAGCTGTTGGGATAAATCGAAACCGAGGATAATTAAAGGATCATGCGGGTGTTCATCGCGACAGCTGCCGTCGTACTGATGGCGGGGAGCTGCCTGGCAAGCCAGGACTTCCTCTCCAAGTCCCTGAACGAGTGCATCGCTGCGGAGTCCTGGACGTCCTGCTTGAAACACGAGGTGCTGGGATACTTGGACGAGAAGCTGGGAACCAACACGGAAGCCAGGTCCTTGGACACCGTCGACGAGGCGATCGTCGCGAGGACGTTCAAGTACCTGAAGAGCTTCGACTACGGAATCGATCTGCCATTTGTGGACGCCAGTCTTAAATACAGACCCAGCAGAAGTTTGGCTGATTTGGACGTCGAGTTCAAAGGAAACGAAGTCGCCACGAGCCAAGCTAGAGGACTATTGAAGAAGAAATTGTTGCTGCCCTTCCTGTTGTTGTTGAAACTGAAGCTGAAGGCTCTGATGCCCATACTTGTGGCTATCGTCGGTTTGAAGGCACTGAAGGCTTTGGTGCTCTCGAAACTCGCGATCCTCCTCGTTGTTGGATTCATCGCCGTGCAGTTCTTTAAGAAGGGTGGAATGATGATGCCGATGGGTACGTATTGCAAATATCACTATGTATATAAAAAATTTGCAAAATAGTTCAAATCAGTTATGAGCAACTTTAATAAATATTTGAATAAGATTACGTGCACCTTTCGTGCGTTTCGGAATAATAAATATAGTTTTATATGGGGACCGAGTTGCTCATCGTTGGTTTAAGCTAAAACCTGACGGCTCACAAAAATAAAACGTCTGAAATAAAAGAAAAGTTGAAAAAGAGCGAAACTTCGTAGGAATGTCAATGGAACCGGCTGCTCAGCCATACGGAGCTGCACCTTTGCCCTCGAGTACGTCGGGCTACGAGCCGGTGAACACGTGGGACGGAAACGGACCGTACTCCCGCGTATGGACGCCGACCAACGGTGTGGAAGCCCAAAATCTCGCTTACTCTTATTACTCGCCCGGAAGCTCTTCCAGCTCGTACAATCCCTCCTCCTCCTCTTCCTCTTCGTCGTCTTCGTCGGGAATCAATTCCGGCAGCTCGTCAAACTACTAGATTAACGGAAAGACACGCAGCAGTCGTCGCGATTCATCCCCCAGGTCGAGATCGAGACAATTTTCTGTCACCGTTCGCCGCATCGCCCCGATGCGTCTGACTCTGATCAGAAAATTCTACTTTAACTCACGCTCACAACCGACGGATCGATCGTAACGATCGAGAGACCAAAGAGACGCACGCCAAATAACTTTGACAATGAATTCACGTCGGATGATCGACTGTGGATCAAACTCACTATTGATCGTATGTCATAAATGGCCATTGCATTCGGTGGACGGAAGTTTCGTTGTCTCGTCGTGCGAATTCAAGTTGCATCGTGAACTCGGCGAGGGAACGAAACTGAACTCTCGTTCAACGACACGTGTGCGCGTTAATATGAATATGGCTTAAAACTGAAGAGGAGAAGAAGAGTGATGAATAGGAGAGATTGGATATCGAGATATTTCTCAACGAAGGGCTTCATTTGTTTCTTATTTATTGACCGCGTGACACGATTATTTATTGTCATCCTGACATTTGTTAATAAAAGCATATGAATAACAGATCTTTTTATTCTTTCACCTTCTTAGCAATTGTCTAAATCATAGGTGTCCATTTAGGTTCCCTGGGCTGCACTGGAAGGACGAGTTGTTTTACCACATATGAAATACATTAATATTAAGGGATCTTATGACGACTTCTTTGGTTAAATTCCCGGCTGCCTTGCATCAAAATGTTTTTTCCACGCATTACCATAGCCCAACCAGAAAGTGAAATAAAATAAATATAATGTATATACTTTTATACTATATGAAACAATATTTGTCGAGTGGCCGAAACCCGCCGCGCCGCGCTGCGCCGGCTAAAGGGAAAGCACAACAAAAGCGCTTAACGTGTTAAGCAAATCCTGTTTCGTGCTGAATCGATAATATTGAACGCGTAGTGCAACTTTTCGTTAAATTTCTATATCATACATTGTGCGCCCGAGTCTCGAAGTGATCGTTCAGTCCAGTAGCTGATAACTGCCTGGGACTCACTTGGAGTAACCTTGTCGAGCTTCGGGACACTTGCTGACGATGGCGCTCGATTTGCCTCTGAGGAACCCAATGAAGAAGTTTTCAAAATTGAATGAGATCAGATTATAAAAGCAGAATTCAATCCTGCAAATTATATAATAACTACGTTCACTTGTAAAAAATAATATATAATTGTCACTGAATAATATAAGGAAAATTGTATCCTATGAACAAAAAGCTTCCAAAGATTAAATAATAAAAGAAAGATTTACAGGTATTTCATTCAGAATTATGCTACATTTGCATAATTCTGAGTGAAATATCTGTAACTGAAATTGTTCTTTTATTACTTAATCTCCGGGATCTTTTCATAATATATATTCAGTCGTCCCTTTCATTATGCGAATATTGAAATAATCCTAAGAACCATGAAAAATAAGTCAATTAATTTTACTGCCTAATAAAGCAATTCGAGAATATAAGATAATGAAGTAACATAATCCTGTACCCTTCGCAGCTTGAAATGAATATTTAGGTTTAGGGTACCTCCGTGACAGTGGCCGTAAAAGGCCCGAGTTACGGTGATTATAGAGGTAGCACGTAATCCGGTATTTGCCTACTGGCTGTACAACTTCGCCCCTTCTCGCACCTTGCCACACCCTTTCATCGAGTGTCTTTGACTATTCACGGCAGGAACATCTCTTTCAACCCCGTGTAACAACAAACCCTTTACCTTCTACTATCTGCTCGTTGAACGGATTGAAAAAAACCACACTAATCAGGAAACGTAGTAAAGGTTTACGACTAAAGAAGGTGGGTAGGTAACCCCAGGTAACTACATCATTTGGAATTTGTCGAAAATGAACACGGAAAGGGTTTTGCGAGTTAGCGGAGAAAGCCTCTCTACGTTGCATGCTGACCGAGGAGAATCGACATAATCCTCTTTCAGCCTTTTTGTCCACTTGACCGCAGGATTCCCTCCTGTCCGTTGCCTTAAACTCCGAAAAAGCAGAAAAGGGTTGTTTAACATGGGATTGTATTAATAAATGGTCGAGAAGGTTTGTCACTTAAGAACTCTCGCCATGAAATTAGTTTTTGTTTTAATACGATTGTAAATTAGAAAGAACTTCACTTCTCATCTCATTTGTTATTCATTTCAAAATAGAATTAAAGTTTTTATTATCGGTACGTTTCGTCATAAAAAATGGAAGTGGGAGATTTCAATGCAAGGATGAACGCGATTGCAACAAATTCTATTAATAAATCCATCAAGGTCTACTAGGCTGCGCACGTAATTTTCTCAACGAAATTGCAGCTTGTTCTCGTCTCTATTTCATTTATACGGCTTCTATTATCTGCGTTCTACCATCTTTTAATGAATTCAGAGAGGAAGACCGGTTCGAAACGGAAGAGATCTTCGAATCTTGTTCCAGAATTCGCCTCTCGTTTCACTAAAACTGCCAAAATCGTACATTTCGTAGTATATTTTCTTTCGAAGCTGTTTTATAACAGTTTGAAAATTTATTATATCTACAGAATGACAAAAATTGATGATTTAGATAATGAAATTAATTGCGTGGAATCGTTTTTTGGGTACAAAACTGATCGCAAGTAGGCCGAGATATTTCGAATTATCGTCGATAAGGATCGTTCCGGAGGAGTGATCCATCAGCTTTTCGAGGGTATCGAAATACAGCCTGACCGAGCTGTCCAGGAGCGATCCTTGCGAGCAGCGTGCGTAGATCGATCGCACAGGATGCGTAACTTCCTGCATTTGTATTCCCTCCCAGCTCGTGCATGGACACACCGGAGGAACCGAAAAACCGTCGACAGCCGTGGCCGCTGCACCGTACGGTCCTCTCCCTTTCTCCCCTGGCTCGATCCGAGGCTGTTAAAAAACGTTCGGCGGAAAACTACGGATCCTTTTGTCGTCGGCCGGGTAAAAAGCCACGCGAGGGCGGCTGGTAAGGGTAAGAAGGGGGGCGTAGGCACGTTGCGCAACCGGAAGGAAATCTGTAACATAAGCGTTCTGTCCTCCACCTCTACGCGTCATCTCGTGCGAAGATACACGGACAAAAAAGTGCAGCTTCATCGGGAATCGCTTGCGTAATTCCATTTTCCATCGCCCTTCCGCATTTTTACCCATCTGCCGCTGTGACAACACCACCTTGGAAACTATTCTTTCTCTCCCCACAAACAAATCGCAGGAAGTTTTTCATCAAATGTGATACTTGAAAAATGTATCAATTTTGATTAAAATAATTTAATAAGAAAGAACAGTGAGATAAATGACTTGTTTTCTCTTGGAAACTTTCTATTCACTTTCCCATCTATGTATCGTTTCCTGAGTCGGTAAAAATCCATTGTCGCCTGCCGCGATTCCAGAGAAAAGAGGAAGTCGCCGCGAGTAAGAAAGTTCCTTGACTTTCTTTCCACTCAGCGTAATTAAAAGCGATTGCGTAACGCGAAATCAATCGCCGCTGCAGCGACGACGTACACGTACACACGTGTACGTTTATATACATATTTATTCCGCACGTGCACTGGCAATGCACGTGCGGCTTGCGGTGTCGTCTTGCGTAATTTGGGTTTCGTTCGGTCGATTCTTTTGACGCGAATGGATACGTGACATTTGACAGGTCCAATTTCTCCGCGGACCTTGCAAAATCCTCGCGACGAGCCATCCTCTTCATTCCCTCCCTCGGGCTACGTTTCTCCCCCTGCCGCGGTTGACATTTGCCATCGAGACGAGTAAACGACGCGACGATCATTCTAATGAAACCTAGAAACGTTTTAAGAGGACTTCTAAATGCGACTCACAATCAGTGTCTTCAAATGCTCGCAGCTGTTTCGCACGAATTGGGAAACTTCGAGTGGGAGAATTATGGGTCAGAAGGGAAAAGCCATGACACGTGAATTTTCGTTACTGATTATTGTCTGCCATCGATGGCACTTCGAAGGCTCCAGATTCTTTTCTCCGATTCGTCCATTCAGTAGCGGCGCAACAGGTGCGAGGGGAATTGTTTCGAGATCCGATACGGTCGATAACGAGCGCCTAGGAAGAAAGCGGCTCGTGAAACGAGCCCGGAACAGGGAAAAAATGGTCTAGGGAGAGAAAAGGGCAAATTGTACTCGTCGGGGAAAGTGAAAGAATCGAAACAAAAAAGGGAGTCCAGAGGAGAAAGGAACAGTTTTCGGGAAGGACATAGGTAACAGCGAAATGATGCGAGATATCGCCGCGGTTTGACAGGCCGCTAACGACTCTATTCTCTACGGTTCGTCGAAGGGTTGCTCGTAAACATCGGCGAACAAGTCCTCTCTTCGCGTTACAAATCGGCGCGCGCGACTCACGGGTCGAGGCCGATCGGTTCCTCATTATCTTCGTCGAAGATCGATGAGGGAAGTTATACAGGCGCACCGTATTGTTCTACGATGTCTTAGCTCGCTATCATTTGTCTCCGAATGGCATCGATGTACCTCCCGTCGTTACAAACGGACGCCGATCGACTTGGAAGTGACGACTCTACGGGGAAACTAGGTAGCCGTTGGAAAATAACTTTCTCGCCCTTTTCCCTAACGAAACCTGTGTCCTTTCTTCTTTTCTTCCTTCGTATCTTTATAGCAATCCGCCGTGCGCCGCATAATCGATGGCGATTCTGATAAGGTTTCCAGTTCTGCAGAAACGAGGCGTACACTTCGCTCGGGAGCAACCAGTTCTCAGAGTTCACTTCATCATAATTAACGTCCGATTTTATTGAGTAAAATACAGTGTCGCGGATGCAAACGCGATTAACTCTTCCGTTCGGATTGAGAAAAGAAGCATCGCGTTGCTGGGCTAAAAGTAGACGCGTTCAATGCTCGGGTCCAAATATACAGTATGCAGCTCATTCATTCATTGGAAGACGAGTCGAACCGCGTCTAGACGAGACGACATGGAAGATTAGCAATCGATGCATCCTCGATCAATGAGCTACGTGTTCGCTGAATCGAGTGCAGCTAGCGGCTGTGTCTACGGAATCCTCAAGACCACCAACTTCGAAATAGCCTCTACTTGGGGGAGTGACGAAATCGGTTTGAGGCAACGTAAATAGGGGATTTACCTGGGCCTGTTTTTCGTCAGCCACAATCTTATCAGCGTGAAAGGGAAGAGGGAAGCCGCGAGCAACGGCGACCCGTCCTCGAAGATTCGAAAGGGAGATTCCATCGTGGTGCCGTCACGGATTTCATGCATTCTTGCGCGGACACTCCGCGGGAGGCTTCCTTAAAAACCGAAAGTGATACGGGAGCGGGAAAAGACGGACGAGCGTGTATAATGCACGCACTCGCGTGACACCGCTCCATGTTACGTACTCGCTACGTACTACTACTGACCCACCGGTGGAAAACGAACGACGCGATGGGGACCCGACGGGAGATAAACGATCGGACAAAGGTCCGCGGCGCGGCGGCGTCGCCCTTCACTTTCCTGACGGGGCCCTAAGCCCTAAACCTGAACCGACTAAGTGCACC